CACAGCTAAGCTGTATCTGCCTTGCTTTAAAACTAAGATGCTTAAAAGTCTCTGTTTCACGAAAAATAACACGTATCTTTTTACGCTTTGCCTTACCATGCTGCAGAGCCCTTCGTGGACTGTGCAATCCAGCGTGCCAAACCTCAGCTGCCCGTAGAGGAGTGTCGATGCCTTCCGCAGCTCTGGCAGCAGAGCCCGGCACGGTGGACACCACTAAAAAGAAGAGAGCATTCGTGAGCGCTGAGCCAACTGAAAGAAGAATTCCCATCACTTCCGCAGTCACGATGCGCTGGGCACGCTTAGGCTCTGAGGGGCGCACACGTCAACGCTCGCTTAGGCGCCTATGCCACAGTGGCTCAAACGCAAGGAACAGTTCTAGTACTAATGGCGCAACATCATTTACAGACCTCTTTTTACCATGATGAGAGAACATGTATTACAGTACTGAAATCTGACAGATAAAAATAACTCACAGGGGCAAAAAAGTCAACCAGCCATGGTTCTTTGTCGCTGGATGGGAAATTTTGAGGTCCAAGGGTGGTAACGTGAGAATTAACACTTTCTTTGGTGAAAGCAAGTATATCATATAAAATCTTCTTTCCTTTGAAATTAAGCAAGAAAAATTAAAATCCACATTCTATAATACTTACTCAGAAACATTTTAAAGTTCTTACACGCAAAATAGTAAAGCAAGATGAACTTCTAAATGAGCTGGTTTTAGTATAATTCTGGTGGTCTCTGTATCTGCACCTTGCTTAAACACTCTTTTGTATCTTGGCCTCAGAACCTCAGAGGCAGTGACTAATGTCCCTGCTATAAGGCCTTTGAGTTCTTCCTGTGGCGGCCTACCTGCTACATCAGTTTTAATTTACTATGAATTCAAAGCCTGTACTAGCAAATGAACAGTGGAAAACTGTACTTGAATAGTGTACGAACTTTGCAAACACAAGATATCTAAACTGAAGTAGAATTATTTTTTTCCAAACTTGCTCCTTTCCTCACCTTCTCTTGTAGGCAAAGGCATCGCCCCACCCATCAGGTGTCTAAGTCCCCCAAGTAAGCCTGGCCCCGCTTGTGTGCCCTTGTTTCCTAACTATACAGTTCATCTCTTACCCGGTCTCCAACTCCGCTGCTACTGCCCTAACCGCCCTGGCCTCCTGCCTTAGCCACGCTGGTATTTGTCTCCAGCTCTCTCAAACTACTACATTTTCTACAATGCTAGTAGAGTCCACCCAGAAATACCAATCTCATTATATTCTGACTACTTGCTTAAATGAAATAATTTATCACTGCCTGAAGAATATTCTTGGCTTGGCAAATAATATCCTTCTCAACGAGAGCACAATTTGTTTTCCCAAGTGCCCTTTGACTCATTTATTCAGCAGTCAAAATTAATATCTAATATGCCAGACCTGTTTTACATTGTGAGGCAAGCAAAACTAAAAACAGAGAATTGTCTAGTCCACAGCCCAGAGGAAGAAACACATTTCACGTCTAGATGGAGCTAAACAGTACTGTGCTGTCTTGCTTTTCTCTTCTTCAGCTGCTTCACAGCCATCTCCACCTCTGGCCACATGAGGCTCTGGCCCTGTCTGTGTTTCTGGAACCCAGATGCAGCAGCTGCAGTCCACTCTCCATCAGAGGCGACCTGAGGCCAGGCCCATGCAGCCAAGCTGTCCTCGGGTTCTTGGCCTCCAAAGACCGTGAGTTCACAGATGCGTGCTGCTTTAGGCTGCTAAGTCCTACTCATCAACTGATCCCTACTCCTCCCTGCTGCAGACACATACTTTAAAAAGCAGTTCATTTATGGTCTATTTTCTCTACTACTAAATAATATTTTTTTAAGGCAGAGATCATAGATTTTTTCCCTATTTTTCTATCTGTATCTAAATTTGAACACAATACAAGGTGTAAAATTAGTAATAGCACATAACAGAAAGTACTTGGGGACTCCATGTGTATTTTCCATGGAAGAAACTGCTCTAAATTCTGAAGGTTATGATGTTCGCTGAATATTTTTGAGGGCCCGGAGACATGATTACAATGCAGGAAGAAAATATGTGTGAGAGGAGAAAAGTGCAAAAGAACAAGGCATTTTCACGGGCTCCAAAGCACCAAAGCTAAGATTGTCTACAAAGGCGCAGGTGCAGGAGGCGGCCGGAAAGCTGGTAGAGGGAGACTGCAAAAGTCCCTCCCTCCCTCCCTCAACAAGTCCTTCCTGAGTTCGGCGTGCTGGGCACCGTTGTAGGTGCAGGCACGACACAGCAGGGCGGTCACCACCGCTGTGCTAAGGAATCTAAAAGATTATTCTAAAAGAACTGGAAGCAAGGAAGAAAGAAAGGTCCCATGAAAATGATGTTCTCA